CCCTGTAGGTGGGACAGTGAAAGGGGAATTAAACACTCTTGCTGGCCAGTTCGGTCCAGGCTACTGCCTGGGCTGGCATGCTCCCCACCCCCAGCACAACTTCCCTGCAGCTGAGGGCATGCTCTAGCAACCCCCAGCTCCTGGCATGAGCAACTCTGCAGGCATGTGCCTGCATTTCCTCAGTCCAGAGGGAATGTCTGTGCTGTTGCAAACTGATTCAATCTAGGTAGGTTAAACTAACCTGCAAAAGTTGAATCAATTCAGCCTTCAGCTTTTTGAATTTCTGTTCTTAGCCCTAGATGTTAAAATAATATATAAAAAGTAATTGCATCTGAAGAATACTACAGCAAGAACTTTAACTATGTGGAGTTCATTTTTAACATTTTTCTAGAACAATTCATCATGTCTGATTATGTTATGCTTAGAAACAAGTAGAATGTTAGGAGTATTTACAATATTATTTGACCTCTTGTTTTTATAAAGCAATGAAAGAAACATTTCTGCATTCATTCCTTCTCTGTTTTTCCTTCACAGATAAGTGTACTTAGTGGAATTGCTGTTGCCAGTATGTATCATTCCATATCTGAAACCAGTCATCCCTTGCAGGCAGAGGAACAAGAAATAGGCATTGATCCCTTGCAGAGTTACTTAAATAAGCCTGATGAAGGTGAGTTTTGTACTTCTGTACTTTGTGCTTGGAAATCTTACATAAGTGTCTCATGATAGCTATGCCTGTCATAATTTGTTTACTTCTCTCAATGAAGTTGAGCAGGGCAACTTAAAAAAACATTTCACAAAGTGTGTGTACAGCACTCTGACACTAATGAAAACCACGAAAAGTCGACTTTCAATTAGACTGAGACATTAGCCAAATGTTTAACGTGCTGTCATTCTTTTTTAATCATAAACCAAACAGTGACTTCTAAGAACATGGCTTTTTGTTGCAACTTTTTCAAAGATAGACTTTTTTGGCTCGTTTGAATTGCTTTAAGATTTTTTTTTTTTTTTTTTT